GTGTCAAGGCGCTCGCGTGGAAGGATGGGAGGACGGACCGCAGGGTGGAGCTGGGCTATGCTGTTTATCTCTCGACTGTGGCCAAACTGCATAGCCCCTTTGGAACTTGGTTTTTTTCCCTATAAAATGCGCATACCCACACTACCTGAGGTTTTATGAGAATTAAATGAGATAAAGTTTATGAAGCTCCTGGCCTGGTGCCTGGGATGTAGAGAATTTCAGTAAATAACATATCTTTTTTTTTCTTTTTTTGGGCAGCAAAGCAAGGTCTGTTGAGCAATAGTAAAGTTTATTGAATGATAGGGTACAAAGCTCCCGAAGAGGGAGGGTACCCAAGAGGGTTGCCTAGTAAATAACATATCTTGAAACTCACGTGGGAAGCGTTAAATGTTAAGGTTTCCATGCTGAATGGCTGCCCCACTCCTCCGGGACTGTGGGGAGTCTCTCCGGACTATTCTTTTCCCTCCGTTCTAGGAAAGTCTAACATGGGTGGCTCTCCCAAGCTGGCTGTTGACAATATCAAAGAGGTCTTGAACATCAAGCAGCAGAGGAGCGACTATCTGGGTGAGCCTCGGAGCCGCTCCCAGCTGTGGGGCCCCTGTAGGGGGCGTGGCGGGGGGGGCGGAGGAGGGGGGCATGGGCAGGCATCTTGCCTTCATTTCCAGCGAGAACCCAGGCTGTGTCGTTCTGTGTGAAGGCAGCTGAGAGTCATGCTCAAGAGTCTGGAATCAAACCACCCTGTGGTTGCAGCCTTGGTTTCCTCCCTTGGCTGTGGCTGGGGGCGGTTTCTGCCCTTGCTATGAGGGGACGGTGCTAGGACCCACCTCAAATGCTCAGATGTTTCCTGGTACGGAGGAACAGAGGAACAATGTATGGAACAGTGTATGTGAGCGGCTGCTGCCGTCATCGTGCCCGTGAACTTCTCCAGGGAGAAAGGGCCTGGATTCCTTGTAGGGACTGTCCCTGGTGTTTCCTCCTTTAGCGGTACAGATAACCAGCTAAGGCTTTGGCAGTTGCAGCCTTTAAAGGAACAATTCCTCAGGTTCAGACTAAACACAAATTGCATTGACCTTTGACCAGAACAGAATTTTAGACAGAAGTGCTCCGGACAAGCGAGGACAGTTGCTTTTGGGCCTCACAAGTTGCACTTTCCCCTTGGGGCCTCTCTTCATGCCACCAACCCCACCTGCCCCTCGGGGGCAAGCAGTTTCCTCTTTAAAACTTTGGCCTAGGGAAGGCAAAGGCCAAACTCTCCTCCCTAACTCTTAGCATCATGGGGCTAGGGTTAAGTGCTCAAAAATACCTTACTAAAAAGAAGCAGCAACTGAAGGGACATAGTCACAGAAAACACTGGGGACCTAACTGTCCAGCTCCCAGTGACTGCTTCTGGCCGGCCTATGGCTACCTTGCTCCCTGAGGAAAGCCTTGTCTCCCAGTCTGTCTGAGCATCTCGCTCTTTGCACACCACCCAGGGTCCCCCGGCAGCCAAAAAGGGCCGTGAGGGGTGCAAAGCGTGGGAGAAGACTGGACTCTGTGGCCGCCCCAGGGCGGTCCTGACTGGGTGCTTGCTTGGAGGCGGGGTACGGACGGTTGTGTGGGCCGCAGGTCTCCAGTGGGAAGACATGGCTCCAGGCTCCTCTCTCAGAGCCTACACCTTACGGGGGAACCAGATCTGAAGCCTCCGTGTACACTCATGAGCTCTTTATTCAGTCATATAAATGTACTTAGAAAGTCTCTCCAAAAAAAAAGAAAGTCTCTCCTGGGCACCATTCTAAGGATAGAGCTGTGAACAAAACAGACAAAGATGTCTCGTTGGGGTTGTCATTCTGGAAGAGCAATGTATTAGGTTTCTAGGGATAGTGCCACAGATTCTACAAACTCGGGTGGCTGAAAACAACAGCAACTTTCGCTCTCACATTCAGGAGGCTAGAAGTCCAAGAGCAAAGACCCTATTTCCAAATAAGGTCACCTTCACAGGTACTGGGGCTTAGGACTTGAACATATCTTTTTGAGGGACAGACTTCTACCTACTCTGGGCATTAAACAAGATAAATAAGGACCCTGTAGGGGGTGGTGGGTAGAGCCTTGTGCCAAGGCATAAAATGGAGCAGAGAGGGAATGGAATTGGCTGAGGCATTGCAGTTTTAGACAAGGAGCCCGGGGAAGACCTCGCTGAGATGGTGACATTTGAGTCAAGACTTAAAAAGGTAAGAACGTGAGCCATGTGGGCATTCTGGGAAGGAGTGGACCAGGCAGAGGCTTATGCAAAAGGCCTGCGGTGAGAGCACGCCTGCAGACCTGAGGGACTTCAAGGAGGCTATATGGAACGGAGAGAAGGGTGAGGCGTGGCAGGAAATGAGGTCAGATAGGAGGTAGGGGGCAGGGGCCCTGCTCATTTAGGGCTTTGCAGGACCCAGTAAGTTTCCTGTCTCACAAGGTAGCCCCACAGCCACAAGATTCTGGTGATTTCCTTCTCCCCATCAGACATCTATGCCATCGGGGTGGGCAAGCTGGATGTGGACTGGAGAGAGCTGAATGAGTTGGGGTCCAAGAAGGATGGTGAGAGACATGCCTTCATTCTGCAGGACACAGAGGCTCTGTACCAGGTCTTTGAGCACATGCTGGGTGAGTGAGCTTTTCCCTCTTCGGAGTGGTGTGGGTGGTGAGGGGCCAGCCAGGGGTCCAGGCTGGGAACCTGCTCACAGTGCTCCTCACACGCCTCCTTCCCCCTCTGTTCCCACACCCACAGATGTCTCCCAGCTCACAGACACCATCTGTGGGGTGGGGAACATGTCAGCCAATGCCTCTGTCCAGGAAAGGGCACCGTGGCATGTCACTATTAAGGTACCAGGAAGGAGGGATGGGGCTTGGATCCCAGAGATGGAAGAGGCTATGGGCCAGAGACATAGCAGTCCCTGAAAATCACCAATTTCCCTACAGCCTAGGAGCCAGGAGACCTGCCGGGGGGCCCTCATCTCAGACCAGTGGGTCCTGACGGCCGCTCACTGCTTCCGCAATGCTGAGAACAGCTCCCTGTGGAGGATCAATGTGGGTAAGGCAGGGCCCACACCAGGCTCCTGAGCCTGTGGCCAGGGCTCTCAGCATTGGTCCCTACCCTCTGGCCCCTTCAGGAGCCCTGGCCCAGCCTAATCCGCCTTATTGTTCCCAGGGGATCCTAACTCCCAGTGGGGCAAAGACTTCAGTGTTGATAAGGTGGTGATCTCCCCGGGGTTTGACGTCTTTGCCAAGAAGGATCAGGGGATCCAAGAGTTCTATGGTGATGACATTGCCCTGTTGAAGCTGGCCGAGAAAGTGAAGATGTCCACCCATGCCAGGTGCTAGAGTCTGGGATGAGAGGGCGTCTTCTGGGGGAGACTGCTCTGGGGAGTCCCCACAGCAAGGGACACCGAGGATGGGCCTGTGTGACCCTTGTCCTTCTCCCTAGGCCCATTTGCCTTCCCTGCACCGTGGAGGCCAATCTGGCTCTGCGGAGACCCCCAGGCAGCACCTGCCGAGACCATGGTGAGTGCTGGGGCTCAGGGCGCGTGAGGAGCTGGGACCAGGGCTTAGGACTAATGACATGGATTGTGCAACAGCCTCCAGTCTGGAGTTTGGATGCTGGGTAAAGGGACCGGCACCACATCCCTTTCTCCTTGAATGCAGAAAGTGAACTTCTGAACAAACTGAGCATTCCTGCTCATTTTGTGGCCTTGGATGGAAACAGAATGAACATTAACCTCAAGACAGGGACAGAGGTGAGGATCTCAGGTCTGGGATGCTGTGGGGGCGGGGTGGGGGGATGCCTGTGGCTGCTCCCTGAAGGTCTCTTTGTCCCTTCTTGCTCCAGCTCTGGCTGCTTTCTCCATCTCACCCTGTGTCACCCCTCCTCCAGGCCTACCAACTGCCAGGTAGCCCCTGGGACTGCTCATTTCATCCTTCTCTCCTGTTCTGCCCCTGTTGCAGTGGACAAGCTGTATCAAGGCCGTCTCCCAAGACAAAACCACCTTCCCCGACTTGGAGGATGTCAGAGAGGTAGTGACAGACCAGTTCCTCTGCAGTGGGACCGAGAAGGATGACAATCCCTGCAGGGGTGAGTCCCTCCCACCCCCACTCCTGAGCCTGAATTCCTGAGGGAAAGACCACTGCTGTCCCTGTGGCCAGCATGCATACCCTGATGACACAGGGCCAGGGCGAGAGTCAGGATGACAGCTTCTTATCCTTCCTTTCTGGCAGGAGAATCTGGGGGAGCAGTTTTCCTTGAGCGGAGGCACAGGTTTTTTCAGGTGAGGAGAGAAGGGGGAAATTCACAGGACTGGGGTTACAGGGTCTTGGCCTTGCAGGAGGATGAGGGAGGCCTCTGAAGGAACTGGGGAGGTTGAGGCTTGGAGCTGGGGCTGTGACAGCCTCCCACCCCGTTCTCTCCCTCTTCCAGGTGGGCCTAGTGAGTTGGGGTCTCTACAACCCCTGTGGCAAGAGCAATAAAAACTCTCGCCAAAGGGCCCCCAAAGGCAAGATACCACGAGATTTTCACATCAATCTCTTTCGCCTGCAGCCCTGGCTGAGGCGGCACCTGGAGGGTATCCTGAACTTTTTGCCCCTCTAATTGTGGCCACCCCTCTGTTGTCCTGCCAGCACCTGCCATCTGTCTTGTCTCCTACCCTTGAACTCCCACCCTCAGACCCCATGACCCCCCCATGCTCCCAGCTCCGAACCCCTGCCCTGCGCTGCACATCCAAGCTGAGGAATCCCCAGGGGCACACCCTCTGCCTCGCTTGACTCACTTTCCTTTCACTCTCACGTGGAATTTCCCAGTTATGAAATTAATAAAAATTGATGATTTCCTCATGTGTCTGTGCCTCTACTTGTGGGCTGGGCAGGGGGGTGAGGAAGGCCGGGATGATTCCAGGAACCACCAGGAGGCAGGTCACAGACCCTGCTGGACAAACAGTGGCTGGACTCTGCTCCATTAACAGAGTCAACAGGGAGTGAGCCAGCCTTTATTTCTGGCCCCTAAGGGGGTGGTCTGGGCTCACCGGGGAGGACCTGGGGCTGAGAGGTGGTGTTGAAGGGGTCAGTCCTGGATCATGGGCAGCAAAGGGCAGGGCTTATGCAGTTTCTATTTCCTTGACTGGCAGCTCAGTGGGGCCCTCCCTCTTGGACATTCCGGAAAGTGGTGTGGGTCAGGTGGGCGGGGTGAGCCACAAGTGCCAGAATGCAGATTGCATAAAAGGCTGGAGGTTGTGGGGGGCAGGGGAAGAGAGTGAGACCAGGCCCAGGTCTGAAGTTTCAGCTTGGACACCGAGCCAAGCAGACAGGCAGCACAAGCTGGGATAGGCCCCCAACCCCAGTTTCTCTCCTGCCTTCCATTGCCATGGGGAGCAATCTCAGCCCCCAACTCTGCCTGATTTCCTTGGTGCTGGGCCTCTTGTCTGGAGGTAAGAGAGGGTCACCACCCCCCTTCCTGCTACCCCCAACACCCCTCCTTGGCCTTGTGAGGCTGGGCTTCAGCAGCCTTTCTTTTTAGGTGGGAGCACACCACCATTGCCTGGGGACAGGCCCCAAGGCACCTGCTCTCTGAAGGGAATAGAGATCAAAGGTGGCTCCTTCAGGCTTCTCAAGGAGGGCCAGGCACTGGAGTACGAGTGTCCCTCTGGCTTCTACCCGTACCCTGTGCAGGCGCGCACCTGCAGATCCACGGGGTCCTGGAGCGCCCTGCAGACCCAAGACCAAAAGATTGTCAAGAAGGCAGAATGCAGAGGTTGGAGGGCAGTGAGGGTGGGCACGGGGTAATGGAGGGATGGAGCAGATGGTGGCCAAGGGCCAGACTAGGATGCTATTAGAGTGGTGTTGAGGCCAGGCAGGTAAACAGGGGAAGCTGAGCAAGTGCAGGGACTGTCTAGAACTGAAGCAGAGAAGGAGGGAGGAGGAAGGGAGTGAATCTTCACTGAGCATTTGCCCTGTGCCAGGCAGCCCCAGCAGTAAAAAGAACGCTCAGAAACGGGGAGCGAGGAGAAGCAGGACTCATCCTGGGTTGACAATAGCCACTGTTTCCGTGGGACCAAAAAGGCACTATTTCTCTGTGACAGGGTCCCTGAGTCCAGGAGGGATACTCTCAGGAGAAGCCCTTCCTTTTCAGTAACTTCTACTTGTCCCCCCTCCCCCAAAGCAATTCACTGCCCAAGACCGCAGGAGTTTGAGAATGGGGAATACTGGCCCCGGGCCCCCTACTACAATTTGAGTGATGAGATCTCTTTCCACTGCTATGATGGCTACACTCTCCGGGGCTCTGCCAATCGCACCTGCCAGGCAACTGGTCGGTGGGATGGACAAACGGCCATCTGTGATGATGGAGGTGAGAAGCAGCCCCTCCCCCGGCGATGGTATCCCCTCCCTGACCATGTTCCAGCCTGAGGAACTGGCACCACAACTCCTGTGCTCTACTGTGCCATCCAGGCCTCAGGTTCCGGCCCTCACCTCCATATCTCATGCTTCTGCAGCGGGGTACTGCCCCAACCCGGGCATCCCCATTGGCACAAGGAAGGTCGGCAGCCAGTACCGCCTTGAAGACAGTGTCACCTACTACTGCAACCGGGGACTCACCCTGCGTGGCTCCCAGCAGCGAACATGCCAGGAAGGGGGCTCTTGGAGCGGAACAGAGCCTTCTTGCCAAGGTGACCCTTGACCCATGCCCTCAGGTTCAGATCCTGCCCTTTCATCCTCATGTCCCTATACCAGAGCACTGTTTCCTCCCCCTAACACAACTCAGCTCCTTCCTCACTTCTAACCCTGCCCGTAGAACTTCCTCACTACTGAGCCCTTCCCGCCCCGGAAGCCCATCATCCCCTGTCTCCAGTCAATGAGTCTTTGACCCTCCCTCTTCCACTCCCCCAACATTTGACCTGATTTCTGACCCCTCCCAGACTCCTTTATGTATGACACCCCTGAAGAGGTAGCCGAAGCCTTCCTGTCTTCCCTGACAGAGACCATAGAAGGAGTCGATGCTGAGGATGGACATAGCCCAGGTTTGGAGGCAGAGAAGGGAGGGAGGCAGGGAATTGGGGGAGGATGAAGAGGCAGGAGAACCATGCATGCTGGAGCCTGAGTTTCTCTGGTGGCACCCAGGGGAACAACAGAAGAGGAAGATTGTCTTGGACCCCTCGGGTTCCATGAACATCTATCTGGTGCTGGATGGATCAGACAGCATTGGGATCGGCAACTTCACAAGGGCCAAGAACTGTCTCAGAGACTTCATTGAAAAGGTGGAGCCCCCTACCCCCTGAATGTGAACTCTGCCCTGCCAGGACTAGTTCCCTGATGTTCCCAGGCCTCTGAGCCACAGGATCCCAGAAAACCTCTTGTCCTATTCTGTCCTCCTTCCCTTTTACTTGAAGCAGTTTCTTGACCTCTAACCCAGTCATCCGGGTGAACCTCAGGGTGACCAGTCAGCCCTTGAGTTTCTGATTATAATTTTCCCTGTCCCAGAAAAGCTGCTGACCTCTCCCAACCATAGTATTCTTTCAATGCCATGACCCTTTGCTCCCCTAACCCACAGGTGGCAAGTTATGGGGTGAAGCCAAAATATGGTCTAGTGACATATGCCACAATCCCCAAAGTTTGGGTCAGAGTAAGAGATGATAACAGCAGCGATGCAGACTGGGTCACAAGGACACTCAACCAAATCAGCTATGAAGGTCAGAGGTCAGGGAAGGGACTGGTTGGGGGAGGTTACTCTGGAGTCAGAGAGGTCAAAAGATTCAGGGTTGTTGTGGGGAGGGGGTGGTGAGACCACATGGGGAGGCAGGGCAGACCACTTTGCAGTCTGTGGTCGAACAGCAGGCTCATCACTGGGGAATATGGGTCACTGGGGACCTGTTGGGGGCTGAGAAGGTCACTTTGTGGCCAAAGGGAAGTCAGTTTTGACAACTCAAAAAGCTGAAAGATGTGGGGTTTCTGTTGTTGATAGGCCTCTAGGGTTCATAGATGACTTAGAAGACCAGGCAAGGTGATCTCTTCCCTTTCCACAGATCACAAATTGAAGGCAGGGACTAACACCAAGCGGGCCCTCCAGGAAGTATACAACATGATGAGCTGGCCAGGGAATGCCCTCCTTGAAGGCTGGAACCGCACCCGCCATGTTATCATCCTCATGACTGATGGTCAGAAGGGACCCTTCTTGTGCCCCGGACTCCCAAACCTTTCGTACCAGTGTGTGGTCCACATGTAAAGCTAGACTCATGGTTGGAGCCCTGAGTGCTGCTCGGGGCCCCAACCATGTTGATCATTTCTGTGACCCTTTCCAAGGAGGAATCCTTCTTAAGCCTCTTTGTGATCTGTCACTTCCATCCCCTCAAGCTGCTTACCCAGCCATGTGTCACTACTTCCAGTCAATTTATCTTCCTTGACCCTCTTTACTTGCCTCTCACCTTCATGGTCCATCTCTTCTACAGGCTTGCACAACATGGGTGGGGACCCAGTCTCTGTTATTCATGAGATCCGGGACTTCCTGTACATTGGGAGGGATCACAAAAACCCACGTGAGGATTATCTGGGTGAGTTTTATTGCCCAGGATCCAGTACCTTACTTTCTCAGCTCCTGTCCCCAGGGCGTGGACACTCACTCTCCCTTTTTCTCCCTCAGATATCTATGTGTTTGGGGTTGGGCCTCTGGTGAACCAAGAGAACATCAATGCTTTGGCTTCCAAGAAGGATCAAGAACAACATGTATTCAAAGTCAAGGACATGGAAAACCTGGAAGATGTTTTCATCCAAATGCTTGGTAAGAAGATATCAGGCGGTTGTAAAGAGGTCATGAACCTGCCCAGGTACCCCAAGGTCACTCATACTGCCTCTCCTCCTGAAGCCTCGGCAGTCTGGAAGGCCTTTCTTGCTGCTCCTTCTCTGTCACATTGTTTCCTGGCACTATCCGCTTCCTGACCTTAGAATCACAGAGCTCTGACTGACTGACATCACAGAGCTTTCTCAAGTCCCTCGTTTAACACGTGGGGCAAGTGAGGTCGAGAGCAGCCTAGGGACAGCAAGCCAGCTAGAGTTGGGCCTGAAAGCAGCCAGGTCTCCCATCTCTTAGTTCCAAGTTCGCTTCACTCTAGCGCGCGGTTCCTCGCCCACAATGTTAAGGAAAACAAATGCCCCGTGGCTTTCCTCTCCTTCCGGGCCTCATTACCCTGCAGATGCCCCTCCCCCAAAGGCTGCTGCCAGCTGGAAATGAAGTGTCCCACCTTTCAGCACATTTTCCTTTCTTACTAGATGAGACCCGGACGCTGGGGCTCTGTGGAATGGTTTGGGAGCACAAGAAAGGCACTGATTACCACAAGCAACCGTGGCAGGCCAAGATCTCTGTCACTGTAAGCACAGCGTCCTGGTGGCAGGGACTCCCGGTGGGGGGAGTCAGGGTAGAAACGGGGGTAGGGGAAGGGGTAGGTTGTGGGGTTTGGGGAAGTTGAGCTTTCCCCTCTGCCATTCTGTTCCAGCGCCCTTTGAAGGGACACGAGACCTGTATGGGGGCCGTGGTGTCTGAGTACTTCGTGCTGACGGCTGCACACTGTTTCACAGTGGATGATCAGGAACACTCAATCAAGGTCAGCGTGGGTAAGGACGCAACGCATCAATCCCCAGTTTCAGCTGCGCAGGGCCTCACAGCAGCTCCGTCCCTGGCACACTGAGCCACTTGGGGGTAGGGCAGAGGCTGGAGGCTGCCCGCAGAGAAGCGGGATGCCCTGACATACCCATTCTCTCCTACCTTAGGAGGGAGGAAGCAGGAATTGGAGATACAGGAAATCCTATTTCACCCCAACTACAACATCAATGGGAAAAAAGCAGAAGGCATTCATGAATTTTATGACTATGACATGGCCCTTATCAGGCTCAAGAAGAGGCTGACGTATGACCAGACTGTCAGGTGAGCCCTCTGGAACCCTGAGGAGAAAAGTTCAGGCAAGGGGGTGCTGCAGGCCTGGGGCAAGTCCAATGTGCTGTCCCTGAGTTTCCCCATCTCTCCTAACAGGCCCATTTGTCTCCCCTGCACCCAGGGAACAAATCAAGCTTTGAGGCTTCCACTGTCAACCACTTGCCAGCAACAGAGTAAGATATTCAGGGAGAGTAGCACAAGGGAGCGGTACCAAGCGACAAGTGGGGCATGACAGGGTGCTGTGGGAGCAGATGATGGCCAGCCTGATCCCTAGCTCACAGGAAAGCAATGAGGGACATTTGCTGAGTGACAAAGGCAATGGGGAGATGGGGGAGGGGGGGGGAGGGAGAGTTAAAATGACCCAGCCTGTCCATTTGTCCAGTGCAAGAGCTGCTCCCTGCAAAGGATATCAAAGCTATGTTTGTGTCAGAGTTATCCAAAGATGGGAAGAAGATGCTAGTTCGGAAGGAGGTCTACATCAAGAATGGGGACAAGGTGAGGAATATGGGATTCTAAGCAGGTCTTCTAGGCCCCAATTCTTCCTGAGCATGCTCTATTCATCACCCCTTTCTCCTCCTCACCTATAGAAAGCCAGCTGTGAGAGAGATGCTCGATATGCCACAGGCTATGACAAAGTTAAAGACATCTCTGAAGTGGTCACCCCCAGATTCCTTTGCACTGGAGGGGTGAATCCTTATGCTGACCCCAATACTTGCAGAGGTAAGAAAAGGCTCTTTGATCATGCTGCATGTTCCTGAAGCCCAAGAATCGCTCTCCCTACAGCTTTTCCTCCCCTATAGGTGATTCTGGTGGTCCCCTGATTATTCACAAGAGGAGTCGTTTCATTCAAGTGAGTTTCCCCTCTCCTATCTGTGCGGAGATGCCAAGTGGTCAGCATGGGCCCTAAAGCAGGAAAGCTCCATGGGTGTGGCTGGAAAGAGGAGGGCAGAGCCTGCCTCCTTACAACTGTTCCTTGAAATGGTCGGCTAAGGCCCTGCGTCCGGCCTGTGTGCTAGAGAGACCAGGACTGAGCTGGGTCCCCAGTCTAATTCTTCTAGGTCAACTCAGATGCAACTAGGAATAGCTGAGTTTCGGGGGATCAGGAAGGAATTCTACCAAGTGATCCGTGGCACCCCCTTGCCCTGTCCAGGTCGGCGTGATCAGCTGGGGTGTCGTGGATGTCTGCAAAGACCAGAGGCGGTGGCAGCAGGTGCCTGCGCATGCCCGAGACTTTCACATCAACCTCTTCCAAGTGCTGCCCTGGCTCAAGAACAAACTCAAAGATGAGGGTTTGGATTTTCTGTAAGGGGTTTCCTGCTGGAAAGGGGTATGAGATCAAATTAAAACAGCTGCGACAATACCTGTGTTCAAGATCCTTTTGGGGGAAGGGAGAGGGGAACGTGCACTGGCCATGTGTTACAACTGAGAGAAAATCTAACAGCCGTTTTTAAAGGCTCAACCCCAATCCCAGGTGCTGAAAAACCAGAGGCTGAGGGAGATGTGTGAGCTTCCACCTCAGTGTTTTACTGAGACCAGTGTTGGCGCAGATGAGGCACACGGAATCCAGCTCCATTCCCTAGAAGCCATCCACAAGGTTTTCCTTGTAGACATCATCGCTGTAGACAATCTGGGTCCTCTTGTCCCGGTGGCAACCCTTAGGGCTGTTCTGGACAGCTGGGGAAGGAGGAAAGGATTGGTTGAGTTCTGAAGCACTGTGTCTGAGCACTACTGAGGCCAGAGACTCTTCCAGCTCCCTCCTGGCCTCTGGCCCTTGGAAGCCCAATTTCTTTCTTTCTTTTTTTTTTTTAAAGATTTTATTTATTTATATGAGAGAGAGAATGAGATAGAGAGCATGAGAGGGGGGAGGGTCAGAGGGAGAAGCAGGCTCCTCGCTGAGCAGGGAGCCCGATGCGGGACTCGATCCCGGGACTCCAGGATCATGACCTGAGCCGAAGGCAGTCGCTTAACCAACTGAGCCACCCAGGCGCCCTGGAAGCCCAATTTCAATGCTGCCCTCTGGTGGCCAGGATGGCCTGGCTCCCTTCAGCCCCCTCAGGGCTACTGACCCAGCCCTGAAGCAAGGAGCCTATGCTGTTACTGCGGCCCATGCAGATACCGTAATGGATATTTGGTTCTTAGAATCATCCCAGATATTATTGTTGAGACAACTGAATGATGTTAACCCACTAGAAAATCTCCGTAGGCCTTTGTTGACATGCTAGTCATTTTCTTGTTCCTTCCTTTCGTCTGGAGGGCTGCTCTTGCTCTGAACACACCTTTCTGCCTACTCCTTTGCCAGGAAAACCAACAGGTATAGTGGGCTATTTGCACTAAACTAAGAAATGCTACTGGCCCCAGTGGGAGAACCATTCTGGGTGCAGCTTTGACCCAAAGTATTCTTCCTCAAGCCTCAAGCTGTTCCCTCCCCTTCTTTTTTCCTCCCTACGTTGACGTGTCCCTCTCTTCACCCCTTCTCCAAGGATTTCATCCCTGCCTTTCTGGGGCTAGAGTGACTCACCCCAAACCAGCCTTCATTCTCTTGGATCTCTCTGCACCCTGACACCGCTGATCACTCCCCTGCTTCCAAAGCTTGGGTCCTTTGGCTTTAATGGCTGCTCCCTGAATATTCCCCATGCCAAGGCCTGGGTAATTCTTTTCCCCAAATTCAGTCTCCCATGAGGATACTACCATTTTGCAGCCACTCTGTGATACAGGGGACTCTGATCCATGTTTTCATTCTTCACTTCACACCTAAGTAAGTTCCAGATCTCTAATTTCAAATGCCTATTTTATAAAACCAACTACACTCCATCTCAAAATGAACAAAGCCATGTGAGATGCTCATCTTCTTCACCAACCTCCCTTACTTCTACTTTCTTCCCTATTCCAGTTACTGCTTTGGGAGTTGTTGTCTCAATCTTTTCCTCTCCATCTTCTCCCACCTCTAACTGACAGAAGGCCTGACAATTCTCATTCCCATTCCACGGCCTCCACACAGATCCAGGCCTCTATCACCTCTATGGGATCCTGGGACATGCAGGGGAACAAACAGAAGGGGTGAGCTGTGGGGAACAGGATGAAGGAGGAGGAATCCGTTCTTACCAAGGGAGCCCCAGACAGACTTGCCAGTGGCAGCATCCAGCATGGGCTGTTTGCGGGCAATGCTGACTTTGAGCTGTACGGACTCCACCTGGGTCCCGTTGAGCTGGGGCAGAAGAGGGGAGGAAGCAAAGGATGGGGGGACACACTGCAGACCAAGCAAAGGAGGAATTCCAACAGTTGCCACCCTAGAAATAGACTGAGTGAGGATCTGAGAATACGTTTCTCATGTGACTAGGAAGAGACTTTCTCTGTCAATAGGAAATGATTTTCTCCTGGCTCCCAGTATTTTAAAGAGAAAACATGAGGATAGCAGGAGGGATGGGAAGAACAGATCTGGGAAGTCCCAACCTCAGCGACGGCCTGATCTGCTGACTCCATCTTTTCATAGGTGACGAAGGCACAGCTGGGATGAGAGAAAACAGGGTCAGTAGGGGGCCTATGGGCTCTTGTGGACCCAACCAAACGCAGGCCTCACAGGCCGCTGGAGATAGGCCAGTGTTCTTCCCTCAAACCCAGGTCCTCCCAGGACTTATCTTGCCCCACAGTCATCCTTACTTTCTGGGTGGGTCCATGGAGAGGTCAATGATGTTTCCAAAGGGAGAGAAGGCCCCACGGAGGAGGGTGGGCGTCATGTCTTCTCCATATACATAGAGAGTATTCCCCTTCCGAGGGGCCCTGCGTTCAGGGAACGAATCCGACCCTGTGGGATCAGGAGTCACAGTCACAAGATGCAACCCGCCTCAGCCTCTGCTTTAAGAGGCCACTTTGGGAGGACTCGCCTAAACCCTTTCACTTCTCCTACCAGCCCAGATCACTTACTGCGGAAAGGGCCCTCTCGTTCTCGATCGCGGTCCCTGTCCCGATCGCGGTCCCTGTCCCGATCTCGGTCCCTGTCCCGATCGCGGTCCCTGTCCCGATCGCGGTCTCGATCCCGTTCCCGATCTCGGTCTCGATCCCGTTCCCGATCTCGGTCTCTGTCCCGGTTCCGCTCACGACTGTGGTCCCGGCTGCGGCTTCGGGGAGGGGAGGCTGAGGAGTGGGCACCACCACGTTCTTCATAGCCCCAGTCAAAGCTTCGAGGGGGACCATCACCAGCGCCTGGGCCCTCTGCCTCTTCCCCATCTGGCCCCAGTTCCCGAAGCCGATCACTGGAAGACACAAAACTGGGGAGAGGCAGACAGTGAGGATCAAACGGAGTCTTTACCTTAACTTCCCAGACCCTGTGGAGACTTAACACCCCCTCTGAAGCCCCAGTTCCTTCCACTCCAGCCCTAAACCTCCCAAGGATCCAGGCAATCAACCCTCCCCCACTCCCTCCAATTGGGATCCAGTCCTCTCTCTAGCTCTCTAACCTCTCATACAGAGATTTCCTCTGGGGGCGTCTGGACGACTGCAAAAGAAACCACGGACAGTTAAGATGAGTCCTAGTTGCTGGCATGTGGCCCCAAATATGTGGGTCTCTCATCTTCCTCATTCCCCAGGCCTCCAGGGACAGAGAACTGGGAACCATACCTCCTGCAGATCGTCATCGGCAGATATGCTCCTTTGGAACGGCTGGAAAGTGGGGACTGGCCCCTTCTCAGGGTCCTGGGAAGATTGTAGAGATCTACTTCAATGTGAGAGCAGGAGGCAGCCTAACCGTGTGATAAGTGGTTCCTCTTCCCTCACCCTCTTCTTGGTTTCTTCTGGCCTCTTTCTTCTCCTTTAATTCCTTTGTGCATTTCTTATTTGATTATGTATCTTTCGTAAATGATCTAACACACACTTAAGAGTATTTAGCTTATCTGTAGGTTTCTTGAACCCGCTGACATCTTCAACCTGTTCAACTCCTCAGAATGACAAAACCCAGGAGCTCAAATATGTGGTAGATTAAAGCCACAGAGCGTGTAAAATGGAGAACTGAGAAGTCAGCCAGTGTCTTCACTTTACAGATAAGAAATCTGAAGTTCAGACCTGTATGACAATTTGCCCATGACTGAATAGATGTTATTTTTCCCCTAAATTTTACGTCCGTTCCACCTTGGAAAGATGCCCTCTGAAGTCAAGGGTCCCCTGAACAATCTTTCTGTTTGTGCTCACCTTTAATTTCCCCTCTAGGGTTCGAGAACGTTTGAAGCCTGAGTTCTTGGTCTCGGCTTTGATAGCACTGATGGCTCCTGATTTCACCAGCTGCTTTGCCTGCTCTGTTGCGGTGGCTGTGTCCACCACAGGCTGCTCAGACAGGGCTGGAGTGGTGAGGGAAGGGGGCATCATGTGGCCAAGCTGTGGGAGATGCTGGCCCCATGGTGCCCACTCCAGCCTATCCCCATCTCCCCTGTCACTCACAGCGTTTCACACCGCCTTGGCTGGCTGTGCTGCTGCTGCTTTGCTTCTTCAGAGCCAGCAATGCCTTTTTCTGGGAACGAGAGTGAGAAGAGAGGGATTGGTGAGGGCCGGTCCCTGGCCCATTCTGCTCCCAAGGTCCCTGGGCACCTCACTCCAGGGGACACCTTTCTCAGAAAACAATCCAAATAGTGTCCCTGCAGTGGTACGCTGAGGCAGCCCTGCCTCTCACACATGGTCCACTGGATCATCTACAATACCAGCAATACTTAATCTAGCCAAACCACAGTATCCAAAGGCTTTCCAGAGTCTCAGGTTTTTGAAGTTGAAGACAAGGAATTCAACCATGGACCAGAGCCCCAAGATTTAAGCTGCAAGGAAGTACAAGCCTACGTGCCTTTCTCAGGGGCTTCATCCATCCATCCCCTGTATGTTTAACAAGGACACGCCATTACTTTGTAACAGAGGGATGCAAAAGTATGAGACAAAGTTCCTTCCCTCGAGAAACTTACAGCCTGAGAAACAAGATGATTAGAGATAATTATCAAGAATGATTATAAGAGGTGCAGACTGCTTGTAGCTGAAACCAAGTTAAGATTATCTGATGCCAAAATGGCTATTAAACTGGTCCCTGGGTAGAATCTACACAAAACAGATTGAAAGAAAAGGGCATTTTAGACAAAGAAAACAGGATGGCAGAGATGCAGAAATAAGAAGGCTTTGGGAATGCATGTTTTGGGACTAGTGAATAGTTCCATTTGACTAGAAAGGGATGCCAAGGTAAGGCTTTGTTCTATAAACAATGGAAAACCACTTACGGGTTTTGAGAAAAAGAGACAGTTTTGTGTTTTCAGTAGCTCATTTTAATAAGAATGAAGAAAGTCTGTCCAAAAAACCACTGAGAAACTTCTTGAGAAACCATTACAACAGTCTATG